ATATTATTTATATAATATATTTAATAATATTATTTATTTAATATATTTAATATATTATTTATTTAATATATTTAATATATTATTTATTTAATATATTTAATAATATTATTTATTTAATATATTATTACATGTTTTCAAAAATTAAACCACCAAACGCAGTTTCAGTTTTTTTTAAAACTGAAATCAATCTCTAAATAAAACTACCAAACGCATTTTTAGAAATAATTTAAAAATGAAACTAAAAACGTTTTCATTTTCATTTTCGTACAGAAAATAAAAACGTTTTGGAACCAATTCCAAACGCACCCCTTGAGCCACATTTGGAAAAAGGAACCTTCAAATAATAACAGTTAAAAAAATAGTCGTTCGTTCAATGGATTTTACAGTAAGAATCAATCAATCAATCGTCTCCCAAAATAAGTATTAGATTGAATTGACCCTCCAATAGTTAGTTAAGAGTATACATATATATATATATATAGTAGTAATCATTTAAGAATTGGCATTACCAAATTACTTTTCCCTCTAGTTGAGGGAATTTAACCTGACCTTGACAAATAGAGTTTCATGGCAACCGGCCATGAATTTTGAGGCATCCATACCCCTTTCTACCTCCCTCTTGCTAAATGCTAATGCTATATCTGATATATACACTATTAGCTACTATAAGAACTCTCTACTACGCTTTCACAGCTCCATCTTCAATTGGCTTGAGTGCAGAGATGCTGTCAACATACAACAAGTTTGGAATTATTTTCATTTCGCACTAAAAGGGGACCGGAAAGAACGAAAAAAAAACACATTAATTTGAATGTCTCACGTTCCTTTTCTTTTAAGAAATGACAAAACAAATCTCATGATTTTTGTTGAAAGAATGACCAACAGGGTGGTGCAATCAGAAACCTACTTCTACAAGGTACATACATCGTCAAAATTGAACCAAGTTTTCTCCTATATTTGGGGAAATAATGATAATTTAAAATAATTATTCTCGTGTGTTGAAGAACAAGCATTATGTTTTTAAGCAACAACACAAACTGGTCTGCAGTATGAAGATGGTGCAATAGCCCCCCTTTAAAAAAAAAAAAAAAAAGGTCATCTGTGCAATTTTTAGAGACGGTGTACGTGGTAGTTCTAAAGAAAGAAAAAAAAAAAACTCCAAGTAACCTGAATTTGCGGAAGAGTCATAAGTCAAAAGTGAGTTTTCTGGAGTAACGAAAGTTTGATTGTCCTCTTCCCTCCCCCAAAGTGGCTGATGGAGGGAGTCAAAATGCCATTGCTGTTGAAACTGTTGTCTGTTTCCATTGATCGGGAATTCCGGCCACATCACAGATGAAACCATATTGGGTAAATTACCATCCATTACAGAACCATTCTGCAAGTTTCAATATATAAGAGAAATCGTTAGTGATATACAATCATGGAATCCCGATCCGAATGACAGGAAAAGGCCTGCTCAAAGTTTAGTGTAGCTTGTCAAATAGCTAATTACAATTATCACAAAATCTTGTAAAAGGGTTCGGAGTTGCGTTGGAGTCATAGCTACTCTCCACAACATAGCCCATTATTGTTGTTCGGAATTGTAATCCCCTTCTCCTCTAAAAACAAAAATGAAAAAACAGAACATTTCTCTTGTTTGACTCCAGCCAAAGACTTCATCCAAGGAGTCCACAACTACAGAAAGTCCCAGTGGGTTTGCATAGAAATAATTACTATTGATAAAGACATTCACGTTATCTTGTAACAACTGTTGGGAAAAAAATCATATTCTAACTGGTAAAGAGCTAAATATAAACAGACAAACAGACAAGTGAGGGCATACGTGGTCCATCGCCTATTGCACATCACACATTAATAGTGGGATGTTGTCATTCAACATCATGGATAAGAATATACAATGAGGAATAATGGAATCCGAAAGTTTCAGTTTCCATTTCATAGTTTTTAATCGACAATAGAATGGGTTCATAGTAATATTCAACGGAGTCGAGTCTAGACGTCTAGAATTTGCAGCATGTATACGTGACACAAATGCAACTCCTGCGGCAAACACAAGTTCCCCATTTTATAACATGCATGACAAATAAAGAAAGCTACATAGAAAACTTACATCAATAGCCAATATACTGTCTAGGTTGAAATCAATTCTTGGGTTGACTGCTGCGAGTCTCATTGATAAGAACTGAAGCCAGGGAAAGATGTCAAGAGTAAGAACACGGCAAATGAAGGATAAGTGAATTAAAACACTACTGTGAGTACAACTTAAAGACCCTTTAAACTTGCAACATGTTTGGATTTAACTTTACCATGCAAGATTGTTTTCGTTTTTAAAGCTTAAACCAGCTGTGCGTGTTTTAAAAACAGAAATGACTGAAATAGGTAGAGTCAAACAATCACCAAGGCGTTGGCTCAGTGGTAAATCACTTGAACTTAGTGCCTCAGGAAGCATTAGGTCTAAGGTTTGATTCCCATTGAGTGCTATCAATTTCTTAGGGCCACGCCCGTGGGCTAAAGGCCCGAGATTTACCTGATCCATGTGGGAGGGGGGCTTGAATGGATCCTGTGGATTAGTCGGGGCAAAGTCTTGGACACCACGGTTGTAAAATAAATAAATAAATAAAAGAAAAGAAAGTAGAGTTGAACAGTCTAATTGGCATAGGTTAGCAGCATTGACCCATAAAGAGGTGCATTAGCTAGGGCAAAATACAAGGATGCTTATTCTATTTATGTTGTTTAGAAGAACACACATCTTCGATTCCATATACCATCTCAGACAGTGAACAGTGAAACACCATCAATCAACTCAAGATTTATTCAGTTTTTCTGACCAATTCTTTTCCAAGTTTAAGACAACGTTTTGGCAACACCAATATCTCCAAAGGTAAGCAAGTCTAACCTCCACTTGACGTTGTAGAGACTGTACGTGGTTGATGATTTCATCCAAAACTAGTGCTGTTCCTGAAATCTGCAAAGCAAAAGTTCAGTTTAAACACAAGTCTTCAACCCAATTAGTAAGAGTTCCTCCCTTATTATGAAAATATGTCGGATCATTCAGATCTTTTAGATAAATAATGGAAACTTTCTCATTGGATTTAACTAATCTTTTAGAGCAAGAGGAAAAGAGTGTATTATATTATACTGTACACACGGGTGTAAAAGATTAAAACAAGACATAATTAGAACTTCAAAACAATCTCCTTCATTCGAGATAATTAATTTCATTGTAGCCTTATCAGAATCAAATTACAATTAATTTCATTGGAGCTGTGTCAGAATCAAACTTCCCAAATTTCGCTTTGGTACTTCAATTTACATTCATGACATTGACACCCTTTCTAGCCAACCCCACTGCCTATCCATGGAAATGATAACACAACAACAATCTGATAAGAAACCAAGAAACGTTAGTGATTAGTTGCTGACGTGGATATGGGTTACTGTGGAATCTTGTTGAGAAAGCTTTCAACAGTCTTGTTGAGGAAGCTTCTTTAGTAATAACTGGAATTGGTTAGTTTGTTAGATTTGTAAGTGTGTTAGCAGGGGAGCCTATAAATAAGTTGGGGCTCGAGAGTTTAGGGGCTTTTTTGGTTGTATAGAGTCTTGAGAGGAGAGTCGGTGATCTCTCAAATATCACCTGTGTAGTGTATCTTGTTCTTCGTTAATCCGTGAGGTTTCCATCACAATCATACAAAATAAATAAAAATTAAATAAGAGAAAGGGAGAGATATTGAAACAGGAGCGGCTGAATTATGATGGACAACTTTCTTAAAGCACAATAAGTCATATATTTTTGTGGAGATCCATATCCTTATGTAAATAAGTGTATTAAAAAAGTTGATAGTTTCAGCTTTCATTGTGGGTCATGGACACAAGTGGTTGTACCGAACGACTAGGGTCCAGGTCGCACAATAAAACAGAATTGCACCTATAGAAACAAATTCATAACAAGCATAAAAGTTGGCCAGTTGGGAAGGTGCACAGTGCTGACCTTTCCCAAAAATAAATCCACAAGTACAAGAAATAGAACGTACGGCCCAGCTTGTTGTCATAACCATACTCAATACGCCAACAATACACAATGCAACTCACTAGGAATAAAAATATTAAAGCTAAGTAGTAATTAATATTTATTATTTCCCAACCATCAAACTTCTGCCTTACTCCTGAGACTTCAGAACAGAAGATCCATCATTGGTGGTCCCAGAAGGGAAAAAAGAAGGGTCTTCGTCGATTTTGTTTAATGGCATCTTGTCCTCGCCAATTTGGTGTAAATTTTATGAGTACAAAACAAAGGATTAAAATTCGTCCCATTATCAGTTAATGCTATCTATAGATCCACAGATCTTGGTTAGACACAGTAAAAAGAAGCGCTACTGGACTATCACGTCAGGTCCCCCACGTAGTTAGGTCATGGCGTTAGGTATGCCATTTGTTAAAGGAGGTTTTTTTCTTTCCTCATCTTTCTCCGTCCCAACCAAGGATGGATACCGGCCTTGTAAGAAATGATAGTACCATGCATCCCCACAAGAAGGATTAAATTTGACTAACTGCGTGGGACCCATGATCATCTAACTCTGCATGCCCCGTTACGTCTGTCCCTCAAGAGGTTCTGGGCAGTTTCAGTACAGCTAGAATTCTCAATTCCAACTTAAATCTTTCACCAAGCAATAAAGGGTAGAGTAGTCATTTTAAAGAAAGTGCGTGCATGTTCAGCGAAGGCCCTCATCTCCTTTGCATCTTTTTCAATTTGATGGCGACGTTGTTTTACCACATAGTAAATATATATATATATTTTTAATAGCCATTTCAAATGATCTCGTCCAAAGGCGAGCGCACTTTTATATCATATGATAAATTATTTTTAACGTTGACACTGATAGATCAAATCACTAATTTTATCTAAACTAATAAAACTTCCTCCACAGGCAGAGCAAATTGGTAGAATTATCCGAAAAGAAAAGAGACGTGTTTGGAATTGATCCGTTTTTATTTTTTACATTTTTCGAGAAAAAAATAAAAACGTTCTCAAAACGGCGTTTGATACAATAAAAACAAAAATAGAAATAAAAACGATTTTTTAGTTTAGTGTAAAATGAGAGAGAAATAAAAACGACTTTTAATCGTTTTTCATTTTTTGTTTTAATTTTCTCCTCTCTTGAGTAGAGAGAGAAAGAGAGACATTAATAGATTTTTTACACTGAAAATAATCTCTTAATAAAACTACCAAACGCATTTTTAAAAATAATTTTTGTCTGAGATTGAAAACGTTTTCATTTTTATTTTCATACAAAAAAATAAAATTATTTTGAAACGAGTTCTAAACGCGCCCATAAAATTTCACCTCCCAAATATATTCTCTTTAAAAAAATAAGAAAGAAGAAATGACAATAGTTATAATCAAAGCTATAAAGTTTCACCTCCCAAATACATTCTCTTAAAAGAAATAAGAAAGAAGAAATAACAATAGTGATAATCTTCCCCAAAAAAAATCCCAGAAAACGAAAAGAGAGAAACGGCAGTGAAAATCCGGAACTGTGAGAATGGGGAGCCACCGGTCAAGCACTTTTCTTGGTACAAAAGCAAGCACGCACTTTTTGACAAAAAGGTGCATAGGTGACAAAACCGTTATTAAAAGGCACATTTAATCTTAAAACGTATGATTAGCCTTTTCAAAAGGTCAAATTGAGAGAGATACTCTACAATAATTGACCCAAATCACAATCAACTTGATAATTATGATATTTTGACTAATCATACTAACCTTGTTTATTCAGGGGGGGAAAAAAAAGAAAATACCAACCTTGTTGCATCCGGGAACAAGCTCCTGTAGTAACTTCATCCGAGCATTAATCTTTTCCCTCCTAGCCTGTAAGAAAAAATATAGGGACAAAAAAGGAAAAAAAAACCAAAATTACCCAAAAATGTCCTTAAAAGTAAGATCCTTCATAAATCATGATTAGCCCATTATAATTGTGGATTAAGTAGGGGATTAGATTACTCGCTCGGCCAGGCTATGGCTGTCAGTAGCTTGACCACGACGAGCTCGAACGTGAACGTAAGGAAGCTTCTGCGCATCTTGGCTGCTCTCGTTCTTGCTCTTCTTTGATGAAGCCTTCGCCTGAATTTTACAGAAGTGGTGATCAATTTCACTTTTTTGGAAGCGAGATTTGTCGAATTTTGCCAAAAATGGAAACCCTAGAAAACCTAATCTGTCAATTCCTCTTTGCTTCAACTTTCTTACCTTCTTTTCTCGCTCCTTCCTCTTCGCCGACGGCCTCTGATTCTTCTCCTCCACCGACGGATCCGAAACCAACGGCTGCGACGAGTTAGGGTTCGAATCGGTCTCCGCGGGCTCGCTCTTCACCTTCTCCAAATTCGCGCTGGAGTTCGACGGCACCGAGCTCGTCTCCGGCGAGTGCTCGCCGGCGAACACAGAGTACTTGGCGGCGCGTTCGATTAGCGCAGGGTCGGAGAGAAACGTCAGGCTGGAGCCGAACGTCTGGTGGGGGTAGGGTTTGTGGAGCGGCTCGCCGGAGAGATTCGCCATCGCCGGAACCCTGTCGGGGTCCGGCGCGTGGTGGAGAAGCTCCATCGCCTGCGGCGCCGGGAGCTCCAGGAGCGCCGTGAAGGAGCTGGCGTTCTCCGGAGGCACCGCCATGAGCCTCTGGATTTCCTCCCCGAATTGGAGCGAATCGAGCCCCGGCTCCCCCGGTTGAGCTCCGACCGGCGTAGATCCGGCCAAGGTCACGCCACTCGATTCCATAAAAATCACCAATCGCAACGAAATCAATCAAAAGCCACCTCAATTTCACACTTCCCAACCAAAATTCAGCGCCAAGAATTCGAATTCCACTCCAAATTGATGGCCGAATTAGAGGAACTGAGAAGAAATGGAGAAAACAGCAACAAATATATGTATGTGTACATATATATATATATATATATATGTGTGTGTGTGTGTATGTATATGAGGTTGCGGTGCTTCAATGGCGGTCAATCTCTTAAACTTAATATTTGTTTGTGAGAATCGAGAGTGGGGAGTGATGAGAGATTACTTCTCAGCCATTTGAAGTCTATCGAAAGCAATGTTGCCTTTTGGAGCCCACTGCCTTTTTCTTTGTATAATTATACAACCTTTTTATTTCAATTTTTTTAATTTTAATTTTTTGTTTTCTCAAACAGTCTCAGAGATTGGGAGAGAGAAAGAGAGGCGTCGTATGTGCAGTTCCATTGGTACAGTTCGTCTAGTCATGGATATAAAAGGATAGATTGGGACCACCCACTACTACGTGGTGTGATTTCTCCAATTTTTTTCTTTATATGTCTACTTGTATTATATCTCTTTCTTCATAAAATAAAGGTTATTAAAACTCGGCCACCTTTTTTTTTGGCTGATAACTGATCGGCTCCTATTTACCCTTGAAGTTGAAGTTTAAGGTCATTTAAAGTTTTATTTTTACCCATAAAATTAGTTCAGGACCATATCGTCATATAAACTTAACGATTTAGAGACCTATCATGCCATTAACATTAATATTAAAATATATGTATAGCTTTTTCTACCAAAAAAATATGCATATTGTTTTAGATTAAAGCCGATAATACGGGTTAGGACACGATAATACAAGACAAATATGACAATTTTTATATTAGTATTAAAAAATAAGTCACATGTCATTTTAGTGTCAACTCGAAATTAATCCGTTAAAAAATGGGTCGCATTGGTGTCAACCCGACCCTAATTGACTCACTTAATTACTCAATTATTTTAAAAATATTTATTCTCCACTTTTGATTGAATGTGTTTTAAATTTTAGAATTAATTTAGTTGTTATAGTATGAAATTGATTTAAATGGTTTTTAAATGGTGTAAATGGTTTTTAGAACATATGTACTGTGTTGTTTTTAAATGGTTTTAGTGCATAAAATTGTAGGTTTAAAGTAAACAAATCATGAGTTATTGATGGATTGTGAGTTAATTTCAAGTTAATTGTTGGTCGTGTATCACAAACGTGATGTTCATGTTACAAGTCATGTTATAGTTGCGGTAATTATGCAAATATTACCCTAAATTTGACACTAATGCGGCCAGCAGCCAACACGAATTATCACCTCTACTTTAGAGGTATGTTGTATGATCAGTAATTTTTTACATGACCAGCACAAATCAAAAAACGACAAGTTTGTGTTATTAGTTTCAATCAATTTTAGGTTGACAAAGTTTAGGCCCTGCCAAATAGGTCGGCTCAAGGCACGTTGCTGTTGGCTAGGGCTTGACCTGATTCTTATAGCGGGACATGCTAAGATTTTGAGTTTTATATTCGGGCCAGGTCGGGCCGAACTTTCTTTCTTTAAAAAAGTTTTTTCGAAAATATCTTATAAAATTTTGAACCGGATCAGGCCAAGCGTTTCAAACTTTCACCTCTAATAACTCTATAATAAATGAGTGGATTTTAGGTCAACATGCGGAACTCAAAATTAACATGATAATACGTGTAAGTTACACTAAATACTTATGGGGATAAAATCATTTTGATGCCCTATGTTATAACAAAACATGTTTTTTGGTATCCTGTCTTTTTGATAATATTAAAATGGTACATCGACGTTTTTAAAAACGTCTTTTTGGTATTCTAAAGCTGATTTTTTTAGATATAAAATGACTTTAGTACCATTTTATTTAATTAATCAAAACTAATAGATCTAGAAAAAAGTCACGAACTTTTTTATTTTGTTATTTTCTTTTAAATATTTTAATATTTTAAAATATTTTTAGACTTTTTTTAAGAAAAATATTGATTTTTATTTAATTAATTATAATGATAGTTTGGACATTATATATCATAAAAATTAATTTTAAAATACTGAGAATATATTTTTAAAAACATCAATGTATCATTTTTTATATTATAAAAAAATTCACTGGAATCAAAAACATATTTGTTATAATACATAGTACTAAAATGATTTTATCTCATACTTATATATAACTTATTTATACATTTTGACATATCCATTATTATTATATGTATATATTTATGTGCATATACGCATTATGCATGTACATGTTTTTTGTGTTTAAATATTTCAGATTTGTGATGGAGATTTAGAACATTAATACTCGTGTTAGTTATATAAATTTTACGCTTCATGATTCTAATTAATAGTGAAGTGATGTTAGCTTTAAAAAAAAAATCAGTTTTTACTAATCAAGAAGCTAAATTGAGTTATAAATAGGGTTTTTTTTTTTCAATCCACTTTGACCTATATATTAATTGTGTTCATCTATTGGGTTAAACTTGTAATAAACGTTTATTTGGATTACGGAAATATTTAATAGCTGTAATCATGTCAGTGAGAACATAACATACATAACATCCTGACACGAATTGTTACCTTTTTAATTATAATGTACTGCATTAAGCCCAAAACAATTAATACATATTTTCATAATTAAAGTAAATAATTAAGCAGTTAAAAGATCTATCCTACCAAAAAAATTTGTGCATGTTAACAACTAATTAATCATTCATGCAAGGTTTTGTGCGCTTATAGTTTTAAATATATTTTTCAATTTAGTTTTGTTATTCCGTTACAGAAACAACACTCTTATTAGATTAAAACTATAAGGATCCTATTATATGTGTCACATACGCATTTTGACTATTTTTTCCGGAAGTTCTTACCATAAAATCTTAATTATAATAGGATTATTTAATATAATTAAAGCTAGTAGTAATATATATTTCTCGACTCAAACTACATAAAATTATATTAACAAAACATTTATTATTAGAATAGTAAAATAAAACATGAGAAAATATATGAAACGAAAAAAAAAAGAAAAATAATCATCTAATAGAAAATTCTAAAATTTACAAACTTCATATGTTTAAAATAACACTCTTAGCATTTTTTGGATTATTTTTTATTAGTAGCAGTTTATTTTTCCGGGTTAGACTCCTAAAAAATTCCAGTTTTTCTCTTGCAATGGCTAACCGTGTCAGTAATCCCTGAATTATGAGAGATATGCTCATAGGCATAGTGTCGTCCTCACACAATCTTTTTGTGAGGACGACGCCAAGAGATATGTTTCAACATCTCTGCGTATAAGCATTTTCAACGAGGAGTGATGTGCAAAAATATGGTTGTCATTATCTCGAGAAAAGGAGACGAATACTCCTTAGAGTGTATAATTTTAAATTTTTACCTATATTCTTAATGAATATCATTTTTAATTAAATAACAATATTAATTAGAAATGAATTAATAAAAAATATAAGATAGAAATTCAGACTCATTCTTTTTTAGAGTAAGCTCCAACAATTTTCTCTTATCATTCCCTCAAAGATGACATTGTCGACATCCTCGCATGAGCTACCATAGTCGGAGCTCTAGCGTGGATGAGTGTTTTTTGTTTTCAGTTGATATTTGTTATTATAGTGGAAGAAAAGGTAAATTTGTATGATCAAAACTTATAATATTGGCAAAGATTATTAAAAGTTTAATTGGACGAGAGTATTTTGGTTTTGAGTGAATACTTGATAAACTCGAGGAAGGAGGGTGATTTTGTAAGAGAATTATCTGGCAGCTCATAAAAAATACTAACAGTTATGAATTGTTCAAGTTTTTTTAGGTTATTTTCTATACTTTCTTTAGTCTAATATGTTTCTGGTGTAATCTGAGAGTTATCACATTCATAGTAAGTATTTTTTTCATACCTTACCATAATATATTAGTGTAATTTGAGAGTTATCGCGTTAAATTAATATGTATTTTCTCATATCCTACCACAATATATATGTGTGCGCGTGTTTTAATATTATCAACACCTTCATTGACTTTTTTTTCCCTAAACTACCTTCAGTAATTAATTAAATATATTAGCTGGAGATGTTTATAGTAAAACTTGAAAAAATGCACTTTTGATAGGGTATTTGTTTTTCAACTTTTAAATTTGTATTAGAAACTATTTATTCTGCGTAACTTTAATTACATTCAACAATAAAAAAACGCACACTATTTTTATTAGACATTTTTTTTTTTATATAAGTACATTGAGACGAGTTATTTTGCAAAGTAACCTAAATTTTACAGCATCATAGCAGTAAAAGAGATATATATATAATCATTAAAGAAAAAGATTAATCTCATAAATAGTTCTTAAGGTTTATTCTCAATCTCAATTTGGTCTCTGATTTTTAAAATTTATCACAGTTGATCTCTAAGGTTTTATTATATTTCAATTTCGATTCTTTTGTTAGCTTAGTGTTAAATATTTGATAAAATATGTAGAAATTATAGACTAAAAGTAGAAACAATACAAAAAAATAAAAGTTAATTTTCACAAATAGTCTCAAATTTATAGTTCTTTTGAATTGCATTCCATATTCTATCAAATTTTAATGTCCAATTAATAGAATGATGAAAACTGAAATAAAATAAAACCTAGAGTTAGAAACAATAAAAAAAAATAAAAGTTAATTTTCACAAATAATCTCAAATTTGTAGTTATTTCCAATTTTATTTTATAATTTATACAAATTTTATCAAATTAATACTTAGTTAATAAAATTATCAAAATTGAAATAAAATAAAATTTTAAAAATTAACTGTAAAACGCTTGAAAAATTTAAGAATTAAAGAGGAATTGAGGACAAACAGCGTTCATAAAATTTACCCTAAAGAAAAAATAAAATAAAATAAAAGAGAAGATTGCGAACCGGACTGAATGCAGTCAAATGAGAAAGATAATACCGGAGTGTCAGTTGTGGAAGTCATTGGGCCGTAAAACTGTGCCTCGGTCTCGTAGAGCGGGGACCGTACACAAACCAAGGCCCGACACAGTTTTTAATCATAGAAGATGACCCGTCATTTTCTACATTTATACCCCTCTAAATATTTTTATTTTTCATTTTTCTACCGTTGCTTTTTTTTAACCAAAATAATTAATAATTTAGGGTGTGTTCGACTGTCTAAAAAATTAAAAAAAAATAACTCAAATTTTAATTTTATTTAAGTTTATGTTCAAGTGTTCCTTTCAACTCGAGTTCAGAAACTCAAACTCAAATTAATGAACAGTATTTTTTTTATTCTTAAAAATGCTATAACTTTTTTGTTTTAATCCTGATTGAGGTGATTTTTTTTTTATGCGTTGACAACGAAAAGATGAATAAAACCCCACCCATATACCCTATTAAAATTTTTTATTACCATTGAGTTTTTATTAAAATACTATCTAAATATAAATTTAAGTTTTGACTCACTCAAACACAAACTAAAAAAAAAATTCTTATCTCAAACCATAACTTAAATGTACACAACTAAATATAAACTCAAGTTACAACTTTAACTCAAGTTATAACTCAAATTCAACTCAAACACTACACTCAAATAACAGGCCCTTAGATTTTTTTTACTTTTTTTCACTCCAATTATTTATTAAATGATTAGCTATTTTAATTAAAATATTTTCTATAAACTAAATATAGTTAATAAGCAATAGTTAGCTATTTATTCTTTTTATTATTTTATTATTTATTTTAACATAAAGTAAATGTTAGAAAAGTTATTTATATTTTAAACTCAAAAAATATTAAAATAATTTATATTTAATTAAAATAGAGAGTATAGTTGAATGACTCATTAAAAAATTACTAACTAAAATAATTTTTTAACAATTTTAATTATAATTTAACTAAAATTTAGATAGCTAAATGCTCTTAAGCGTTAGTGATATTCACTAAATTTATTGAGCACTGCTATTTCTAATATATTTTTATTTTTATTTTCTTGAAATATTATTACATGGTAATTGATATTATTACGTATTAGACGTATTTGTTTTTCTTTTCTAATAGTATAAGTAATCATAAACTTTCTTTGTTCATCATAATCTAATGTTGAAAGCAAAAATATCAGCTATTTTTTTGGCATTTTTTATTTTTAAGAAGTTTGGGGGTGGAGGGAAAATTTTCAACTTATTAGACCATTTTTAATGTAAATACTAATATTAATTGTATATTTAATATAAAAAAGAATAATATAGTATGTTATTTTTACTCCGACGCATAATGTTATTTAAAATGCTAAATCTATTTTTTCCTATAATCATTAAACTTTAAAAGTTGTAAAAAATAAGTTTTTCTTTTTAAAATAATTAGAAAATACAAAAGCTGCAATGATTACATAAAAAAAATAAACATTGCAACTAATAACAATTAAAAGTTAAATTTTTCATATGCTATACTTGTTGAAAAATTTATCACAAAATATAACACATAGAAAATTTGACACAATAAATAACATTATATTAGAGAATATTTTTTTGCACGTAAATGTTAAATTTACAATTCATATATCAACTATAACATAACATTATATTAAAGATCCTCTAACCTCTTAATTTTAACATCTTTTTAATTTCACCCCATTGTCAATTGAGACCGTGTTTTTTTTTTTTTTTTTGGCTACTGATGTTAAGTGAGGCCATGAACAGCAATGATCAATCGATGTTACTATTTTGATATTGATTACTTACTATTTGTGTGAACTAAACTGTGAATGCGCTTAAAGAGGAACAAAAATAGCAAAAACATTTAAAAAAAATAAAATAGCAAAAACAAAAAGTTAATTGTACCAAAGTCACTAGGGTGTAAATCGGACGGGTAGGGTAGGGTTGAGCCGAAAAAATGAGCCTACCCGACTAGTTCGGGTTGAGAAAATTTTGAACCGCGACACTCTCTTAAATCTACAAACCCGCGACGTTTCGGGTGACCTCGGGTAGGGTAGGGTTACTCGGGTTGGTGAAAGCAGATAACTAATAAAAAAACAACTAGAATATTTCTATTAGATTGGTACCCTTCTAACATGCAAAATAGTCCATATAAAATAAACAGTTTAATCCAGAATAAATAAACCATATAAAGATAAACAGTCCATATAAAAATAGTCGCAAAATATGACATGAAATAAAAGTTAGTCCACTCCAAACTGTTTAATCCAGAATAATAGTATCTTCATTCCCAACTTGCCCCTCATGTGTTGCAACAGAAGTTGACAAATCTTGAGAAGAAAACATAACAAAAAAAATCATCAGAATCAAGTTTAGAACAACAAAATAAACAACAAGGAGATGAAATAAAATAAAATAAAAAAGAGTAAAATGTAAAAAGATTACCTGACTCAATATCTTCATATTCATTAAAGACTTGCAGTTTCAGCAGAAGACTTGCAAGTGCTTTCAGAAGTTTTGATGATAAATTTTTCCATCTAGCACGCAAGTAACCTAAAAAATAGATAACATATCACATTTTCAACGTCTAGTGAAAAGCTAACATATCACATATATCTGGAATATCAAATTTAGTGTGATGATGTTGCTGTGACAATCTCTACGAATAAACTTCTTTAGGCATAAGTCAATCCAACCCTAAAATTCGTAGTATCCCTATAAGAAGCCCATGACATTGTGCTAAATGCATCCGTTACAGAACGCAGAAGCCCATGGCAAAGGCCCTATCACATTCAGTTAGAATTACAAGTTAAACTGGCCGAACAGATTAACCCAAAGCCCCAAAGCCCGTTACTATTGATCCAGTACGACCTACAACCCACCCAGTTTAATGTCCAGGCCAGGCTAGCTAGACCGATGGCGTAGAGCTAAATAATTTTTTTACCACCTTTAGTGATATTTTGGTTTTTTCCCAAAATATTACCTTATAAAAGATCGGCCAGCCCCAGCCCATCAGGCATTAGGGTCGGGCTGACCTCCCACCCTTTAGGGCTCCCGCCAAAGCCCAAATATCCAATTCCGGCAGCCTGACTTTCAACTCTACATCCAGACAATAGCCGTCATTTTTTATTTTATATTATTATGCAAAAATCATATTGACGTCTTGTCATTTAAACTCAAGTTTGGTCGACAATACATCAACAATATACCAGTGAATATACTTGCACAATATATTTGAGAACATGGTGAATTAAACGAGAAAAAAACACGATCAAGTTACAAGTTTCGAAAGCTGCACTGATACATTAAAAGCAGCAAAGCATTCCGGGGGTCTAGACATGAACACAATCCCGATAATTCGCATAACATATAAACTCAAAATCTTTCATATTAAGCAATAAACTACCCAAAAATTCAATAAAAAACAGAAAATGTCATAAAATAAGATGGATTCGCAATTCTAAAAGCCATGACACTATCAGAATCTTCACAGGTCCTGCACGCTCAAACCTAAACAAAAAGTGAAAGAGGCCGTCAAAACCAGGGAACAAAAACTACAAAGCAGAAAATTAACAGACTATAAACAAGTTTGTGCCCAAATTATAAACAACTTAAACCTGGCGTAACAATTGATCACAGAAGTAAACAAATTTCGAAGAAAACAAATTTCAAAGAACTAAACCGCACCTGGAGGGAGGGATTGCTTCAACTTGTCGGCCTTCTCCGAATCAAACACGCAAAGCGTGTAGAGGTACTTCGAGCAACGAACCTTGAACTTGACCACGTCTTTGCTCCTCTTGATCTTCACTGAACGGGCATCCTTCCTTCTTGCGGTAAGAAGGAAATCCTTAATCTCGTGGATCTGCTTCGGCTGTGCAACACAAAAAAAAAAATATATATATATATATATATACATATATTATCACAAATGGTCCCTAATTTATTTAATAAGTGATAATTTGGTCATAATCTTTTTTTTTGTTGGTAAATTGACCCCTAACCATTTAAAACATGTGCAATTTGGTCATTTCTGTTAAGATCCGTCTAAAAGTTAACGGGAAAAGCCCAAGTGACCCCTCAACTTGGGGTATATGTGTAAAAACACATCCTTAGTTGATTTAGAGGTGGTTTATACGGTGGAAGAAGAGAATTTGGGGTTGAAATTGGGGGTAATTGCTATGTAATTGTTCTATAAATGAGAGTCTAAATTAAAATTTAGACAATCGCATAAAAAGCTCAAATTACCCAACACGTCTCCACCATCTTCTCATGTTGAATCAACGTAAACCATAAAAAAGTGAAAAACTCACAACGGAAGAGAAAAGAGAGCTGCCGTCGATTTCGGCCACCGCGGCCGACCCACCATGAATTGAGACCGGAACTAGAGAGCCCATGAGCTGATCTACAAAACCCCCCTCACTTCATCGCCCAATTCGCCGCCAATCAGTCATAATTTCAGTTTGAAATTTCCGGCCACAACACCTTCCAATGCCGATTTTGGCGTTGTCCGACGTCCAATCCTCCGACAAGTGGTGTCTTCAAACTCCTCTCGTCGAGCTGAACAAATCCATACCAAGTTTCCCGTCATTCGTCGCCGGAATAGTTCCGACCTTCTTCGGTTAGATCTTCAGTAATTTCATCTTTGGTCGCCGGAATAGTTTAAGCGGGCAATTTCATCTTTCCACCAACAATCTGGGTCACATCGGTGGTCACATGGGCTTCTCCTATTAGCTTTTGGATGAATCTTGATGGATATGATAAGATTGCACCTGTTTTAAATGGTTGAGAGTCGATTTACCAAAAAAAAAAAAAAATGTTAGGACTAAACTGTCATTTACTAAATAGGTTGGGGATCATAACCTAAAATACTTATATTTGTGTTATGTGCAATTTATTTTGGTTGGACTTTCGATTAGTCTCAAACCCAATCCAATCATCCCCAAATTTCCAACACCCGAGATAGAGATATTTATTGTAGCTGCTACAAAAAAAAAAAAAAAAGAGCGTGGATCGATGTTAAATGTGACCATGCAGTTTTTATTTATTTGTTTTTAACATAAATTTAAATAAAAAGCCCGCTTGACTCTATTACTCTTTGTTTTTATATCTGTTTTTAACAAAAATTACAACGAAATAGGTTAAAGAATAATAAAAAGCTCATGAGATAAAATGAGAGTTTTTAAAATTTAATAGGTAAATTGAGAATGATCCTAAAGTTTAAGGTGATAATAATCCTTATATTTAAATAATGAGGGAGTCCAATTTATTTTACACTTTCGGTATATGAGGGAGTCACAAATATTGTATTGAATAAATCAAGCATCTCATTTGAGCTTGTTAAGCTATAATACCATATAAAAATTGGACTTTTTAAGAATTTAGAATTCCATTTTAAAAGATCAACTTATGAAATATGGTGATCTAATATACTTATTAATTTATGTTTTATTTTTACAGAAGACTCAAATTTATTTTACTTAAAAAAAAAAACCTAGGTTTGTAAACATCTCATTCAGATTTTTTTATTACTTTTATTTTTATCATATGACTGTTGATAATTTTTTTTCTTTGTTTTCCTTTCAATTTTTCCATCATACTGTTTTTTTTTTTTTAATTATGCAACTTTTACCCTACTTGCATACTCACTATCAATCAAGTCCAAGTTAATACAATTATTATTTATACTTTTGTACCAACAGTAGTACAGTTACATACAGTTCTAGGCCCACCCTCTAGGCCTTAGCTTTGTGTGGTGAGGTTTGTCCTTCTTAAGACCATTGTGCTAACCTATGAACTTCCTGCAAGGGTTCATTCAGGGACGGTGTACCACCTACAAAGGTGCTATTGCTCCTATTCTAGCTTTTCACATGGAAACAGAACAACATCATTAGAAGGCTATTAGTAGGGGAGTCAAAACCTAAGGGTGAAATGTACAAGATAAGAGAAGGCGTTTCGTTGATAGATTAGAATTATGTGATTATAATTATTTTTAATTTATGTGTATTTTTTATGAGAAAAAATACTGTAACAAACTACGCACCTTGATTCGAATTAAGGAGCAAATCTAGGTACCAAACATCTTCTAAAATATTCTACAATTAGAAGGCTAAGATGTATTTTGCAAGTTAATGCCAACTTTGTTTTTATTTAATTGGAGTTACAAGTTTTTTGTTTTTTGTTTTTTGCCTTTTGTTTTTCTTTTCATGTTTTGAGTACGTGGTAAAGATTTTTATATGGTTGGTATGTTCTCATGATTTGGAGATTTTTAGCATATGATTATAATTTGGTGGGTGTTTGATTTGGATACGTATTCTAGAATATTCTCATCCCAAGACAACCAATATTACTTTGAGAAAGAGGGGAAAATCAATTTGATTGTTCAATGGTTTCTGTTTGTTCGGTTGCCGATTGGCAAACTAGGGAATCAATCGCTGATTTCTTTTTTTCGAACAGTGCAGTTTCCACTAGGACATGGAAGAGAAGAAGAAGGTGGGAGGAATGGCGGCGACCGGAGAAGAAGGAATCAACATTAGCCATCACCCAAGTGGTTTCGATCGACGTCGCTGAGTTGGCGATCGGTTTCAATCTTTTTGAATAGCCCTGTTGGATTGTGTCCTCCAAACCCAAATTTGGTGGGCAACGCATGAGATTACGAAGCAACTTTTTGTTTGAAACCTTCGAAACAAAAGGGTTTTTAACCTTGTGCAACTTGAAAAAGAGCCAACGGTTGTGGTCCATGCCCTTAAGAAATATTTTTAGAATATGGACCACTTTCAATAGTACTAAGAGTTCCACTAGTTCTTCTATCGAAAAAGAAAAAAAGAAAGCAGAAAATAAATCCACCTATTCCTAACTCGTTATTGGACCATTTAACAAAAGTAACTATATGTTCTGATTATGACATTTTTAGACCCCACGCACCCAAGGTGACAAGTTACAATACCATTAATAATATGTTCTAATAGGAAACTTACAAAAGTGTATTAATCATATGGTACCAACATGACAAAAATATAGATCTAATAAGTATTAGGCATTATATGAAAATGCTATGGCATTAATTAAGGGGAGATTCTACAGTGGAAACATCCATCCCATACCCATAATATTTTATAAATAGAGACATTATGGAAAAAATAAGATAATTTTTTTAGATAGGAATAAACTTGTAAATTTTAATTACGGCATAAGTGATTTTTTTTTTTTTTCAAAAAAATTAAGTTTAAAACTTAAAACTTAAAGTTGAGTGGAACACGTGCTCCCACTTGATTATAAGCAGCTCTGTCATTAATTGACCTAAATTATGATTTCAATTAGACTATGTTTTTTGAATGAGTATAACGACATTGCTCGAAAAAATATTTCATATAATATGTAGCCATAAGACCTTACAACAGTGTGCTCCCTTGGTATAATTTTTCCTCATTAGGTTTCGTACTTTCGATCAAAAAAACGATGCTTATATCATGGTACAATTACAATGACAAAAAATAAATACACCTTTCTTATTGAAAGAACAATAGAAAGTTTTAAATAAATAAGAATTTTATGGTAGGGCAATTTACTACGAGAGTTCATAGGGTCGATGATCGTAATGGTATGATAAGTCAAGTGATGTATATTAAGAGACCGGATATTATGAAAATTTTTTAAGCTACATTATTACACATGTTCTATAAGTGTTGTCTAATTTAAATTGTACAATTAGGAACTCTTACAATAAGATGCCATGTCCTAAAACTCTTCTAAAATAAATAATATACTTTAGAAATTTTATTTCTTTTTCTTTTTGTAAACTTTTTTATGGAAATAAACAACTTTCTTTTTGCTGTGTGTGAAATGCTTCAAATATGGCGATGCATTTTATAAATAACTGACATATTTAAGATTTTGAAGGGGAAGAACACTAAACAATTGCTATTCTTTTAAAAAAAAAAAAAGAATATTCGCCCTTCTTAATTCATTTCAATAATTTTACGCTATTCTTTAAGAATTCACTCATTCTTAAGTTAAAATATAATAAGAAAAGTTATATTTTTCTACTGTAAATCACAAATCATTAAGAGAAATTTTTCTTGCTAAAGATATCTACTTTTACTACCTAAGATAGTCCACCACATTTAACATCTAATCGAGAGATAATTACATTATATGACAAAGTTTAATACCTTAAATTGTAAATTTAATAAAATTTCTAAAATATTGTAAATATAATAAATATTACATAATAATACCGTAATATTTATATTACACAATTATATTCTAATTTTTTAATGATATTAATTTTTGTCATTCTTAAAATATTCAAAAGCTAATGCTATATTTCAGCTTTACTGCTTAATTTTATTACGTGTAAAGAACCCTAAGATAACCCCATGTGTATTACCACAACGAAAAGCCTGTCTTTAGCGGAAGTAAAGCCCAGTAAGAGAAGTAAACATAAGTAGGCCGAGTCATTTTGGCCCATTCGAATAGACATTTAAGGAACATTTATTTTCTATATTCGTCTGAAATAATTTATGATTATTTATGATATTTTTTTTATAAAAAATACATATAAAATAAAAATAATTTTAAATTATAATTTTAAATACATAAATTAACCGTTTATACTAGTTTAATCTGTGACTGATGAGATAAATTTGACAGGGCACAAATGTCAGTGAGTTTTCACTTGCCATTGATGATTGGCGTTATGGCGTAGTACAAGTGAGAGAAGGGAACAACAACCAAGCAGAAAAACATGATGTGGGCAGTACGATTATGGCAATTGTACTTTGTGTCTGCAGCTATGAATGGCCATCCAAATTATAAGCTTTTATCAAATAGAAAACTTAGGTTGAGTTTGGTGTGAGGGTTTAAATAGGGTAGTTTTAGTTTTAGAATTAGAATTATGATTTATGGTTTAAATTTGAGGTTTAAATTATAGTTCTGAAATTGGAATTAGAACTAGATGTTTAAACCATCTAAAATTAAGGAGGGATGTGGTTTTATTTTTTGAGATAATTCTGGTTTAAACATCACATCATGATTCAAACCTTAAACCAGAACTATCCAAACCAAATACTGATTTTTAAGAATCAATTTTTACTTTTTACAAACAAATAAAGGTTTGAACCAGAATAATGATTCCGGTTCTTGAACCCTCATACCAAACGCAACCTTAATAGGGGGTTTTTTTGGTAGGTCAATTTTATTAGTAGTGTTAATTTCTAACCGTTGAATCAAGTCAAAATAACATTATATTAAAAACGTCTACAGAACAAAAAGGTTTTGAAACACATTTAAAGGCTGAAAATAGAAAACTACTGATAGTTCATTTTTTTAATTCTACCAGAGAAGCTCCTATGGTATGACATGTCTTTTATGCAATCAATAATTATTATAGTTTTAA